AAAAAAAAAATTACTGTTTCTCTAAAGGATGAAATCTGATATGCAAAAGAATAAGTAAAACATTCGTCACTGTTCCGTTGTTCAGTGATATGTAACGCTAGGAGAAAGTTCAAAATTTTATCGATACCGTCTGTCAGTATTCTTCTGTACGGCAGATTTTTTTTTTCATTTAATTTTTGAAACTTTGACAGCAATTTACAGGTTGGAAAAAAAAAAACCAAAAATTTTTGAGAAGCAAAAATTGCTTAATTGACTTATTTATTTCTTCTCTTTTTCTTTTTTTCTAATTTATATCGCATATTTCTTAAATTTATAATCAAAATAGAGTATTTCAAGTTTCAAAATTGTTATCATATTTCTTTTTTGAATAGACTTTAAGCGGATTTTTCTTTTTCTTATAGCTTTATAAGAATTTGTTGCTGCTTTCCTTTGTTTGCTACACTAAGCTAATGTTATTTTGTCTACAGCAAAAAAAAAATTGTTGCACAAAAAAAAAAAACCAAAATGTTAAAAGGGAAAAAATTTTTTTGCTTGATTAATGTATGAAAAAAAATATGGCACAAAACTGAAGCTGAAGACATAACAAAAAATAAAAAAAAAAAAAGAGAGATATTTTTTTGTTGAAAATTTGGATGACAAAAAAAAAAAAAAACAGTAGAATAAGCAGAAGAAAAAAAGAAGAAAAAAAAATAAAACTTTTCAATGAGCATTTTCTTTTTTTTTTTTGCATAGAAAAATTTTTTTATCACTATAAATTATTTATCAGTAAAGTCAGAACGAAAAAAAAGACAGTTTTTTCTGCAAAACTTTTGTAAACCCATAAACAGTTTTGTATTAAAATAAACTATTTGCTATATAAAATACAATTTTGTTAGCAGAAATAATTGACAAATTTGTCAATTGGTTATTGCCGCAAAACATTTTTTGGCCTTTATTATCAATAAAAACAGAACCTTTCCACAATACTGTTTTTATCTTTGTCTCAAAACCAAATAAATAATCAAAAATTTCTGTGATAAATCAGTTTGACGTTAATTTCAGACAAAACTTCTGCAAAAAATCACAATATGTATAGTCAAAAATAAGAAGAAAAAAATTTGTTCCTTTTTTCCCTCTTAAAACTGTATATTTTTGTTAGCTTTTATAAAAAGCAGAAAAAAATTTGATGATAAATTGGCAAATTTTTAAAAAGTTATTATTAAATTTGAGCAATTAAACAAACAAATTTTTACATCTACTTTTTAGTTCCTTTACGTTAGTACAGAAAACAAATTCTTTTTCTCTTTTTTTTTACTTAGTTTATGCTTAAGTGACAGAATAAGCAAAACATTAGTG